GTCCACTATAGGCACAAAATGAATAAAGGACTTTCATTTTCACCTTGAGCTGGCAGTTGTAACACAATTTTTATTACTCAGGTTTGGCTATGTAAGTAAGTGTGTACACACACACACACACACACACACACACACACACACACACACACACACACACACACACACACACACACACACACACACACACACACACACACACACACACACCATATTAACTCAATGTGCATTTCCTCATTTACATCATGAAATTTTAGGTAACATGTAACCCAAACAATGAAGAAATGATTATGTATCCGTCATTCTAGTTAGTGACGTATATGAATTGGAGACAGGATATCCTCAGTAACAAGAACTCGTTATTTTCAATCCAATCAAGTGTGTACTTGTTTTCAAATGCTTAAGAGTGTGACTATAGCCAAACTTTAGTGCCCAGATATTAGGAAAAATTGTGAACAGACATTACAATAAAAAACAAAATCTGCCTTACTGAGAAAAAGCGTAAAAGAATGAAATGCCTTTCTGTCAAAAGAAAAAAAACATGATCTGAAATTCCCTTAGCATTTAGAAATTAGGTTATTTTCTCCATCTGTCATCCCTAGTTAAACAGTTGAAGAAATGTGATGGGGCTTTCAATTAGAAGGATAATAAGCTTATGAGTAGATTTAAATAGTACCTTTGGGCAGAAGGTTACTGACTGTGGGAGACTGTTGGCACAGATGGGATTGACCTGGAAAAAAGCTTAAATATCAGTTGTGTTTCTCTTCCTGTCATCCTAGACAATTTAAAACATATGATTTGGATGTTGAGTTGAAATTTTTTTTAATATACTGGTTCATGTTACTTTCGATGAGAAAAATGATTATGTGCATGTTATGAACACAATAGCTGCAATATCTACTTTTGCTGCTGCTTTCTTAGCATAGCTTAATTAATAGAGATCTTAGTTGAAATCTGGTTCAACTACCTGGTTTGCAATTGTTGCATAGCAAAAATTTAGGGTGTCACATTGAGAATAAAATGTTTAGATGATTTTGAGTTGTTACCAAAATATGCTTTGAAATCATGCAATATACATGCCCAATGGTGCTCATGTAGAGACACATGTATACAGATATGCATGTATTTCTTTTCATTTTCTCTTTAAGCATCTTTTAGAAATACATTTTTAGGAATAAAAAATCTTGCCAGAAATTCATACCAAAAGTCTTATTATTCCTGTTTCTGAGAGGACAAAAGCACACACAAACATACTTGCAATTTACCTTTGAAAAATCTCCCTATTTTTAAATGCACCTTCTGCGTCATATTTCAGGGCAGCAGGAGTCCCTCCAGGAATTCAGATCTCAACCGCAGTAATGTTGTTGCCTTGGAAGAGGAGAACCAGTCCCTGAGGAGGGAGATAGAGCTGGCAGAAGTGGCCACCAGGGATCTGGAGAAACTGGTAGGTTTTCGGACATTTAAAGATACTTTATCGATCATTTGGGAATAATTATTTCATTTTACAGCACTGGTATTGCACAATACTCTCTTGTAACACTTGGAAACTTTTTTTTTTCTGCTTGATGATTGGTTCCATCCTTGTGTTAAAGAATTAGCTACTTCACAAAGGGAAACAAGCATTTTGATCTTGCCCATGGCATCCCTAGAAGATGCATGTACAGTAGATCTATTGTTCAAGTAAATGGACATATTTATTGTCTTATTTGTTTACTGATATTTCACTCACTCTTTCAATAGAAATAATTTAAGCAGCACATTATTGCAGTATTTTTGTGGTGGACATCTCAGGAATCATGTCCCCAGTATTCAAGTCAGAATGTTTTTTTTAGATTCCAGCTTTATATAGTTTCAGGGCTACATGTAGGTAATGGTGCATATAACTTGATAATCACTTCATTTTCTCATTCTGTAATACTTCTTTGGTGCCATATTAGTGTTATTTTATGTAAAACATTACTGCTATGTTCACTTTATCCCAGGAACATTTAACGGTGAATTATAAGAAAAAAATAATAATTCTATTTAGAGAAAATATAGATAACGCATGAATTAATATCCATGCTGCCGCTGTTTCCATTATAAACATCAAACCAGAACTCAGCTTATTTCAATAGACTGCTACAGCATGAAACACAAAAGCTTAACTGCCATAGCAGCAGAGCATTTATGTAATTTTGGTAAATTAGGCTTCTGCGACTGTTATTCCACCGAGTATTAGTTCATTACCAAGTTATTTTTTAGACACCCGAGTAGGTAACCACATCTGTTGCAGTTCACATCAATGCCTATGGCCCAGGGACATGCAGAATACCATCTTAACTATGAAAAGTCACAGGCATGTTAGACTCAAATTATTTGCCAGGTTAAACACCATTGTGCTTAAGTTGGTGGTGGCCATAAAGGAATGATTATGTGTCCAAGTAATGGAATTGATATCTCTGACCAGTTCTTAGGGTTTCATTACACATGATGGCATAGAGTCAGACCAAGTGTTTAATTTGGTGGTATCAGAGCACAGCAATTTGATGAGAAAGCCAATACTAGTTTTGTGTTGAGTTATAAATGGTGTATAATTATATTAGTGGACTATATGAAATGTGCCATCAGTGGCATGTGAAGACGTATAGATTCAAGCCCTTAACTCCCTGGCAGTTATTGACGTCAATGAAACCAAGAGTAAGCTGCTAATGATGCTGCTTCTTCTCTTCACATATAATGAATATATACATATCTGATCTACACTCCACCATGATAGATTGGTTAGATATTTGTGGTTAAGGTGTTATAACAAGAATGCCTTCAATCCACCAGAAAGGACAGAACTTTTATGCAGTTTAAAGAGTTAGGAGCTTAGCCACACCTAAGTCACACAGAGGAATTGGCTCCCAGTTTTCAACATAGACCATGTTGCGGTCCCTGCGTTCTGCCTTCAATGGGGTAATTGTTTATTACTTTCTATCATTTTCCAAGAAATAGAGTTATGAAATTTTAGAATTGACTGTAATGGGGACTTAAGGTTGAACAAAAAAAAAGAGAAAAAAAAGATAAGGATTAATTAATTTAGGGTTTGGCAGTAAGTAGCTATTTGAAGACCTTTGAAGTATGCTTTATTGGGGAGCCAGACAGTGTTAAGAGGAATTGTGACTGTAAAACTTTTGAGTAGACAGTTTCATGTTTTGCCTCTCTTATTTGACACAATATTAATGTGGTTTTTCAGAGAAAATGATCAGACGTCTTTTGGTATCATGTTTCCTAATGGTACACAATTACATTCAGTGTCATTGTGCTTTTTGTTGTCATTTGTGCCAAAGTCACTTTACTTAAGAATAATATATAGACAATTGATTTAAACCTGCAAATCTGTTTTAGCACTGCCTTATATAAAGATATGCTTTGCAACAAAAATAGCAAAAAGAAAAAATCTGATGATTCTAGCTTAAACTTTGAAATTGCAAAAGCATTGTGCTGTTAGATACATCAGTTGGCAAATTCATGATATTTAAAAAAAAGTGGAGTCTGTGGACTTTTTTTGAAAGAATTTGATTGATTTCTACTATACGATAGGGAAAGGAGCCTTCAGCAAATGTGATGTAAGCCATTGATTATTGCTTCTTGCTTTCACCCAATACCAGATGCTATCAGAAATGCAGATCCTATCCTGCCTTATGATTTACCCTAGAAAATTGGTTATCCACTGTGTATTGCTCTTTAATTTTTGAAAATATCAGCTTGCTCAAATTAAGTCTAGACAGCAAATATCCATTAGTTCAGATTATGAAAGGGTACTCATTGGAATAAATGTCTGGTCAGCAAACATTGGTTTTTGTCATGAAAGCAGCATTCATTACATCCTGCTTAAAACTAATGATGGTTATATTTCTTTTGCTTAGTTCTCAGATCTCTTCTTCTGTGTCCTTGAAAGATGTCTGTCACTGATTGCAGCATTTTATTTCATATTGCATTTAATGAAATGACAGGTTCAATAGTCTGTAGTTGGGCCAAATATCCTTTATAGAACTTTCATGTTTTGATGACATCTCATCTGATAAAAATATTAATAAATTGTGAGATGAGAAAAGATTTACTTGCATAAATCACGGTTCCTACCAAATCTTAACCATGTTATACAGTATTTGTGTTACTTGCCATCACAGCATGAAGTCACCAATGTCCTTTTTTATGGCAACTTGGTAAAACAACCATTATCACTGTTATAGCCATTAAGCACGGTAATTCTGCAACTCTCAGTTTGAAATTAAATTTGTTGATGTGGCATTATGTCTGAAAAGCAGATATCATGTGTCCTGGAATGATACTTTCTGAGTTTCATACTTCACATAAAGGAGTTGAAACACTGGGATACAGCCTGAAGTACTTTTGATTGAAATGTTTTTGTGTCCATATGACTTCTGGTGATTAGTCTGCTACACGGGACTATTCAAATTGGTCTAGTCAGTATACCTAGTCCCTTTTTTGGCACAGACAGAACGTACTGTGGAGCATATAGTTGAATGCTTTACATCATGCAGTTAGATACATTGTGAATTGCTTGGTCACTGTATGATTGTGTTTGATTTATTTAAGGGAACATGTTAAGTGTGTTCTGAGGAAAAAGAATAGACAGACAGACAAACTGATAGTCAGACAGACAGACATACAGTGAGAACATGAACATATTTTCATTCTTATTGGCCTTTTAAAAAAATTTTGTCTGCAAAGCTATAATAAGCACGTGATGTTTTTATAAAATCAGTGTTTACAGATTATGTTTTAAATCTCCAGGCATAACTTCATTTTCACTGAAAATTCAGCCCATTTCACTATATTCATGTAGTTATTTTTCTATAGAAATTATTGTTTTGATCTTAAGGACTCTGCTGTAGCCCATATGTCAAACAAAGCAGGAAAAATTAAACAACTGAAAGAGCATGGATTGTCTCTGGAAACAATGGGTTAATGATATGCATATTGGATCAATTCACGTTCTCATCTTGACCATTTCAAATCAGTACTGTCCATGACTCAGCAAAGTGTAAATATTCAATTCAAAAAAATCTTTTCAAGTTCTAAGACTTATTTGTTCTTAGAAGTAATCATCCTATTCTTTCCCTTTCAACCAACCTGACAGGACTCTGTTATTTTCCAGCTTGCAGGAAATTGAAAACCTTACAATGGTAGAGATATAAATTAATGCAGACAGATTTGATTCTGGGCAGGTTATGAACCATTCATTGTAATACTTTCCACCATTTAATTCATTGACAGATAAAATGGTTGTGATGTTTATTTTTCCCTTGGCTTTCAGGAAATTGAAGTGACCCAAAGAAGAATAGAAAGTGAGAGTCTGTACAAAAAGCTTGAGGAGAAAAATGGGAATGTTTCTAAGTTGGTAAGCAAACATTACTTGATTGACTTTCTTTTATACGCCGTATGGAAGCAACAAATACGTGCCACGTGTTGTCAATACTTTGCCAGGCTCTGATGTCAAACCAATGGGGCTCACGAAAGATCTGCACAGAGTGTTTTCTCTGCTTTCTCGTTCAACTGGAATGATTCTTTCAATTTGTTAGTTGCATAATGTTATTCTTGTGGGCTGATCATGAGCAGAGCAATTGATTAAAGCTCTCAGTAGTCAGTAGGATGCTCAGAGAATCTCAAGGAGCATTCTGAGAAATTGCTCTGTCACCTGGAGGGTGTGAAAATGACATGGATTGGATTTTTCGTCCTTGGAATTGTAGGAAGCACTGGGATTTCCAGGGGTCTGTGAGAGCAACATGGCCTATTGTCAGCTGTGCAATATTTGGGTGAATGTTTTGAGAATTTTACAGTGATTGCATATATTGATGTTAATGTTGAGGTTATTCAGTTAGTTTACTCTTATCGACATTAGAGTCTTGTTCGGGTTGCAGATCGGTTGACCCTTGTCAGTTTAACTTGCTTTGAGAAAATAGCACTCTTTGAAATATCACGAAGGGCAGTCAAGTGCCACACATTTTAAGTGGATATATATATATATACATGTTGTTATCCATGACTTTATTGAAGATGTATTGAAATACATAAGCATGGGTAATTGTGAGTATAGTTTTTGTCATGTTTGAATACATGGGTATTGAAATTTGTTTATGCATCAGCAAACAGCACACACACACACACACACACACACACACACACACGTGCAGGCATGCATGTCATGCACACACATACACACATACACACACACACACACACACACACACACACACACACACATATTTTTGGGTACATTTAAACATTAAGATATCTTAACCAAAGAACCTGTTAACCAGTGCATGGTAGCGTATTGTTGAAGAAACAATTGGTAGTCTGTTTATACTTGACTTAATTCACCATACAGGCGTGTTTGCGTGTGTATATTTTACTGTATAGATTAAATTTAATATTGAGTTCAGACCTCTAATGGTTAAGCTAAATGCTAGAGATAAGTCAAGAAAAAAGAAAAGAAAATGAAATCAACTTGTTTATGTCAAACCAAACTATCTCTTACTGAATTAACCCTGTAAAAAGTTTCTTTTCAATTTGTGCAGTATCCTGCAATATCCAGCTCTGTATCAGGTAGGCCTTTATATTGAATGACGTGGTATTATCTGTTTATAGGAAGATGAATTACGGGTAACCATCCAGAAGAATAATCAACTCAGTCAGGAGGTTCTTGATCTTGAGACCAAGTTGCAGCAGCTTGAGGAGAAGGTAACTTGGTTAAAAGTGCATTTCTAGTCCCATTGTGATGGTTCAGTCCAGAATGTTCTATCTGGGCCAAGGATTTGATCAGTGACCTTAGGAAATAAATCTTACCTCTCTGTTGCACTAGCCATTCCTTTTATAAGACTTAAAATGAACTTCTTTTATATCACAAAAACAACACAGAACATCCTTTTGAGATAAAGCAATTGAATTTTTGTACCAAACAAAAATGTACTGAATGCATGTGGTCATTCATCCAGCTTAAGTCAAGAGAAGCAATGTCTTCTAAATGAATTTTATAGAGAATTATTGAGATTGAAACTTGAAAATGATAAGCATGGGAAAATTGCTGAGAATTCCAAGGAATTTTATAAACTCAATTTTTTAAATGTCAAAATTGCATGTACTATCTCTGTAACTATAATGATATTTATGACAAAAGACATGCAAGAGTGCCCCCCAGTGACAGGTAAATGCAAGACATGTGTACATTGATTGATAACAAGACTGCAGTTGCTAGAACTTTCTAACAAGATAAAAGGGAAAGCTGACAGCCTTTTTTTCATACCATGAGCAATTCTTTTATGTGTGTTCACTTAAAACTATCCTAATATTATGTGAACTGAATTCTCCCTAACGAAGTACATTCATACACTGTCATGCCATAAATCATTCAATTCCTGATTCCTGATACAGATGACATGCTTTTCAGCTTACCGAAGCACAGAATGCCGAGGCAGACAACAGTCATCTATTGGCATTGGAAGAAACCAATAAAGCTTTGAGAAGAGAACTAGAAAAGAGCGAACTAGAACAATCTAAACTTCAGGAAAGCTTTGAGGAAAACACCCATGCTTTACATGAAAGATTAGAAAAATTGGAGAAAGACTACCATCACAAGTGTAAGGAGAGTGAAGAAAGTGTTAAAAGGGCGCAGGAAGAGGTTGAAGCCACACACAGAGCAGAGCGAGAGAGGGATCGATTGGTAAGTACTTCATTCCTGCTTGTGCTTGTCTGCTTTGTACAGATTCTTTGAATGGAAGCCTCACATTCATCGTTATGACCACGATGACCCTGGATTCAAGTGCTCTTGTGGCCATACTGTAGGTGGAGCACAATCCCTTGTATCCACAGGCTGCCGGAACATGGCCCTGCCTCTAAGCTTAGAACCTGTTAAGAAGGGCTCATGGTTTTTCTGTATGGTTGAACATAAGAGATATGCTATTTTTTTAATAGAACATTTGTGTTATTTTTGTACATCATAGCAGGTCAGCTGCCATTGCGTCATAGGATATAAAGAACCTTATTGGGTTTAGCGTAAATGTATGGTTTTAGGGTGTGAGAAATCTGCTGATATAGATTAGCTTACAGTGTTGTGTACAAGATGTGACTGATAACAATGTATTAGATGTGACTTATTTTATCTTGTGAATGATGTAGCATCGTTTAAGGTGCAACTTATACCATTATGTTTGATGTGTTTTAAAACATTGTATGTGAGATGACATTGTGTTAGATGTGACTTACAGATTGTGTTGGATACTACTGCAGCTTAAAAAGACAACCATGTGTTAGTTTTGTGGCATCAAGTTCAGAAGCACCTCTATCGATCAATACCTGCATCTTGAATTCTTGTTTTTCTTAACAGTAAAAAGGGATACAAGACCATTCTGCTGTTAGCTACAAATCGACCTAACATGGCACAATTATAATACTGATCGCACATCACAATTCATAAGAAATTGAGGGTGATTCTGATAATTTCACAAGTGCTGTGATAAAGTCTTCCCATCTCTCAGGCAGCACAATTGAATGTGATTGATTAGTCTAGCTAGAATCTGGATGGTTTCTGTAGTGCAATTTATAATTGGTCTAAACTGAAGAATCGTGATCTTAAAACATTCCCCAAGGCATCTTTTCACCTAAGAATGTAAACTGGTGATGTGCTACAGCAGAGTTATGGTTAGTTTATTTTGATAAAGGGACTCACAATTGCTTTTTGCATTGAAGGATTGATCAGTCTATTTTCTTGGGACAAGTTTGGCATACGGAATTGATAAGATATGGAGAAAAAAAGAAAAAGAAATCGCAATTTTATCCCAATCTGTTGTGATTTGGGTCAAAAAAGTAGTTTAGATTTTAAAATTCACCGAAAGACTTACCAAAAGAATTGCCAACATTAGTTGTTGCTTTGGAGTCCCTGAAGACACAGTAAAGTTACCAATTAATTGTACATGCAGAAGTAGACTACAGTGTGAAAAAATAGTTGTATTGGCTTGGGAGGTAGGGAGCCGAAGGTCATTGATTTGTTGAGCCTAGATCCCCTGAGACATCTTTCTGTTTGGGGATATGTGGATTTGAATATTCATATTGTCCATCGATCAAATTAATAGATCAATGTGATCACCTAAAAGAAAAGGATATTAGCTTTCTAGAGTGATGGGTCTGTAAATTATATCTCATTGTGTGTTTTCTGTATCCTACTGAGATATATCATGGCTGGTTAATTTTTGTGACTTGATCAGAATAAGAGAGAAAATTAAAAACAAGGTTTTGTGTAGGTGATGCCGTGTGATCTGCAGATCAGCTTTCCATCACACATTGTATATATAATGCAGTGGGATTGCATGTGAAAGTCATGCCCACACACCATCATCAGTTCTTATCATACTGTCCCACTTGATCCAGAGCATTGCATGACTTAAAAGAATATACTTCCCACACATTCTGGCAGTACTTAATGTTGTGGACTGGTATACACATACATCTTTATATAAGGTGTGGGTTAATGTATGTAATGTTAAACACAAGCACATACATGCACTCAAATATGCACTACCGGTATAGGTTAGTTCTGATATGGTGTGTCTCATACTACATAAATTTGCATCATTATTTCACTATTTAATCAAATGTTCACACAATCATTCGTTATTATTAAAAGAATGCATGTCTCTGTGCAGAATTCATTAAAGCGAGTTCTTTTTCTCATGCAGTGCTCTGTTTTGTACAGCAGGCATTCAAATTTTTTATTGTGTTCCCATAAACCCATTGTACTAGCTGGATAGATGTAATTCTGCGGGGCTTCTTGCTAAAGCGCTTTTAGTGTAATCAGCTTAATTGTCTGGCACGTCTTCTTGAGTAACTAGGGGGTAATTAACTGTTGTTAATTACCTCCTAGCAGCTTGATTAGGTGTGCCAGACATTTAAGCCACTTACACTAAATGCAATTCAGCGAGAATCCCCACAGGGATGGATCGATCCAGCTAGTACTTTGGGTTTATGGGAATGCTCCCTTTGATACAATATTATTGCCTGTGAGGCAGAATTTAGAGGTATAGGCTCTGTTCTCACAACTTTTAGATCGATCTATCACCGCGGGGAGTCTCACTAGATTACTGTCAGATAATCCCCCTTAAGTGTCCGTCCCCGCCTACTACAAGCTTTAAGGGGTAATTAACTTTCGTGTCCGCCCGGCTGACAGCTATTTAGCGTGAACCCCCAGGGAGTTAGGTCGATCCAATGTAGGTCGATCTAATCTATGAGAATGGGGTGATACATTTAAAGCTAGATAAACAAAAGCCTATTAGGCATGTATCTGTATTTGTGTTTATTTATGTATTTCTTATATAATTACATATTTATTTTTGATTTATATCAATTTACACATCAAAGATTTATATAAAATGCCATTTTATTAAAGTCTGTTTGCGAGAGGGAATTAAAAAAATATATTCCATTGATCTTGGTCATTAAATTTCCATAAATAAGTGACTGGATGGCCTGTTTTATAGATGTTGGACCAGCAACTTAGAAATGCTTCATAATTCCAAAGATTATTCTTGGAATTCATTAAGCAGAGCCACTTGTATCTTTGCACACAAGAAGATTAACTCTGTGCAACACCTCGAAACTGCACAGCCTATTACGTGACCAAAGTTGCTTCTCAAAGTGATGCTCTTTCAGTTGGCAGCTATTGTATGACAGCTGTACTATCTGTTTTCATAAGAGGTATTTTTTGTGCTTGTAATAGGATCATCAACTGGTGTCTGGGATTGTTGTTGAGAAACTTCAAGTGGGATTATTCAACAACACTTGTGGTTAATACTGTTGAGTTTTCATTACGTGATTATAAGCAAGTTATACTTGATTATCTTCTCCATTTGTGATCTAATGAAGTCAAGTTGAGACGCTCACTGCATTTTTACCACTCATCTATTCTATTGGCTTCAAATTAAGTTAGATGTGTAATTAGTGGTTTTCCTTTAGTCTTCATTAAGCCACGGACTGTTTAAATTGTCTCATCTTTTGTCTAATTTGGCACCAAAGTGTGGAGCAGTCAAGTTACTATGCTCTGGTTTATTACCATATTTCGCCCACTGCACTGCCACATTAGTCTAGTGGGATTTCCACAAAAGATGAATAGTAGGGGCATTTTGGGGTAAAAGTTGGGAACCAGGCTCATTAGCATAATTTTGGGATGCTGATTCCGATTAACCCGGTTCCCAAGCGAAATTTTGCGTTTTTAACGGTCTAATTTGCAAAAAAACAAAATGGCCGCCAGATTTCCTATTTTCTGCAATATNACATTGATTTCTTGTATTTTGCAGAGGAGTGAACTGAATATCAAGATTTCTGAATTTGAGGATGTGAAGAGCCTTTTAAAGGAGCAACAAGGCAAAAGTTTGGAACTGGTAAGTGTACAGTTTGTGTGAGCACATACTTGGAGTACATTTTATGTTTGCGTTCATGCACATGCATAATCATGCACATATACACTTGACCAACACGTTGCATGGTATATATAAGCACTTGTAAATGTACATGCTCCATGTGTCAATAGATATTTGTGTACATGTAGATTCATGCACATCATACACTGTGAATTGATTTTTTTCTTATTAAAATATAAGAATATTGAGATTAAAAATATGCAGTGAGAGTTTAGTTTTATTTGATTGGTAAAACTATGATGGATGACTTATATCTTGGTAGCTTGTATGTATTAATACTTGGCTGTTTTAGCAAGGAGAGCTAGAAACTCAGATACTGAAGAATACAGAGCTGACCAAACAGACCACTGAGCTATATCAGAAACTGCAGGATTTTGAAAAGGTAATGTAACTCCCATAACAGAGAATCTCCAAAGGTACAAAATGTAATAGCACCCTCCCCTCAATAGATTCTCTGACCTAGCCCTTAAATTATTGTTTTAGGCAAACAGTCTGCATTAAGTACTGTTTTGCTGTGAGTTTCTGGGACTGATTTTTTAATCAAGCATTTCATTACCTAAATGCAAAGAAAACTTAAGGTTATTGACCATGCGGGGATCTCTTGTGTATTTTGAGTTATTGGCTCTTTTCTGGAGGATGAATATTGGAGATGGCTGGAGGGGGGGTTCAAGAATATATCACAATAAATGGGGTTTTCCTTTAATTGGTTTATTNAAGACTGGTGGCTGCACCCCTTATTTTGTGTATGTGGGGGTCTATACGAATGCGCTTGCTCCAGCTGGTGGTACAATATTCGGAGGCGGTATCGCCTCTCTGATCCTCTAGTTTATTTTTATTTATTAACAAATTTGCAATTATTTATGGGTTTTTTTTATTGAAAAAATGAGAAAAGTTCAATAGTACCCAAGGGAACTGAATTCAAATTCTGGATTTGGATTTTTGATTCAGAATGCTTTCCATAAGCAGGCTTTGTATTCTTGAATTTTCTTGTTTTTTTTTCTGTATAAAATGGAAGAAAATGTTTCTGAATATCAAATATTTGAGAATGAAGTTGTGAAGTTTGTCTAGCTTTGGCTATAAAACCACTAATGACTGTAAGGGAACATGTCTAGGTGCTCAATTTGCTTAGATGTTCTCTAAAATGCCTCTATTTACTAAATGCTTAAGGACCAGTAAATAGCCTTTATCAAAAGATAATGTTTTCCAGGGAAAGTTAGGTAATGAAGGAAGTAGGTGGTAGGAAATTTCCATTGGTTGCTAACATGCTTTAGGCAAATGTTGCCTTGTAATGTAGTTTATTTTAAAAAAAGAATTGTGTTTTTCTTCTTTAGTATGCTGTACAAAGAAGTACCAGTAATTCACTGTGTTTATAGTTTGTTTGTTTTTTTTACCAGTAGTTCATTGTAATTACTTGCATGGTCTAGATTGAATTGATTGCATTAAACCATGCATAGCTTTGTGGAAGATCTAATTGTCCTATTGCATTGCAGCCATTTTAAGGGAGCAGTTAATTGGGTTCATGTAGAACATAAAGCATATATATCATGACCAATATATAATAATGCTTTGAAGAAATTATTTGCCCAGTTTGATCATGCTACTATCGTGATGTCAAGAGAGAGAGTTACTATGATGCTCAAGCAGAAAGAACACAAATAATCTCTTTTGCAGCCTGTTAATTTTGGAGATTATTGCTACTTTTTATCTTTAAAAATGGTTTGAGACAATTGGAAGATATATTTGGAGACAACTGTCCAGTGAATTTTGAAGATAGTTGTAATATGTTCATTAGTTTTACAGGCAATTGATACGGGAACATTGGCTACAATGTTATATTGATTTTGAATGTCTCAATAATGAAGCCCTCTAGACCTTACATAGAATTCTTTGTAACTCAAATGGTTTTTACAGAATTTATCAAAGAAAAATGTGCTCATGCCTTCTCACTTGGGCAGAGTAAGGTTCTATCTGTATACAAATAGATTTGTACATTTGACATACAGATTGTGTTTACAGTAAAAAAAAACCTGTGTAGAGGATTGAAAAGTAGCATGTATACAACTTGAGAAAATAGCTGAGAAAATTGACTCGCTTAACTTTTGCAAATGGACTCCATTGATTTGTTCGGTTTCTTCAATAGCCATTAGAACCTTCGGGTGATTGCATGCGTGTCTCCTGTCTCCTCAAGGAATACAGGCAATTTTTAAAGGTATTTGTTTGCTCAAAACCTTGACTTGGGGTATTATTACAGTCACCACAGTGCAAATTGATGTGAACCTGTTTCATGACTTGATCACTCAGAATCTGTTCGAAAACACAAAATGTATTCATTAGACTGCAAAGAACCTCAACACAAAATTTTCCCGTCTCTGGTAGTTGTTTTTGAACTGTTTTTTTTTTCTTTTTTTTATTATTTATTTATTTATTTATTTATTTGCAAAGACATTTAAGAATGTACAGTACAGAACTGAAATATGATATTTAAACCACAACTACTTCACATTGATTCATATTTATGGGCATCTCCAGATTTAGAATGTAATGTTACTTATAGAAGGCTGTTTATTTTGCAAATGTTTCTTTTTCAGTCTTCATATTTAAGATATCCAGCAAGGGGAGAGAGAGGGGTAGCACAGTCATTGGATTTTGTTTTGTCATCTAAGTCGCATGATAGTATATTAACTGTTCACGTTTAAATATTCATAAGGTAGAAGAAAGATAATTGATTATTTGGTACATGTGGCCAGTTTCAAAACCTTGATTTACTGGTAGAAGAGATTCCTTGCTTAGATATTGGATGTTTTTTTATGCTGACACACTGCAAGATCTCGATTAAAGCTCAGGGCACTAGAAAATGAAACAGTCTGTCGATCAATCAAAACTGTCTTATTCCAATTTTTTGGGGACAGCATAGAATTTTTTTTAGATACAGATGTAGTGCAGTGTAGATTAGATAGTTATTACATAATTAACAGCAACTTTAAATTCATTTGGAATAGATAAACTAATGAAGTAGGGATAGCTGATAATAAAGGGAAAGAAGGAAGAAGGCAAATGTGTACTTTACAGGGGTTTAATTTATCTAAGCTGGACCCCTATGGATTTAAAATACTAAATTAATGTACATGTATATTGACTAAAGAAAATCTCAGTGATGAACTATTGGAAAAAAATTGTCCATATTGAACTGTATTCAGTGGATCTTTGCAGACTTACGTAACCAAATTAGTAAGAATGAACAAGATGATTAATCAGGTACCAGCTCCCTTTTGTTAAGATGGACAGATTCTGTGTCCATACTTAATGTAGGGTGACCAACAGGGATTTAGTGATATAACCATTTCTGGCACGCATACAGAGGAGACAGAGAGCTTCTACAACAGGAACATCCAATTGGGAAATCACCTGAATTGTGTGCACTCTTGTGATATCATTTTGACAATTATGCTCAAAAATTGAGCATAATCCTTTGTTCTTCCACTGCAGTGACCTCTGCACTTGCAGCAACTCAATCAAGTTCTGTATCCTCTACTGGGGTCTATATTTAGGGATAAGATGCTACAGCCAGTGCCAATTTGATTGGTAGTCAGTGCAATTTTAGCCACCTCTTGCCGCATCTGCAGACATTGATTTTTTTTTTTTTTTTTTTTGGACTAGACAATCAATAAGCATTTTTCATTAACTGTTTGCTTGAAATACACTTGACAGTAAATCATGATCCAGTTCGAGCCTAGCTTCTGAAGACAGTGATTGAACAGTTTAAGTGTAAAAGGATCAAATGGCACATAATGGCCACTTAGTGCCAGGTGTGAGAGAAGGCTATGCATACCTGAGGCAAAATGACTGATAGATGGATACCTGATCAATAGTTCAATGACTTAAGATGTGCTTAAATACAGAAGTGCTTTGATTTTAAGGGTAAAATATTAAAAGATTTGCTTAAAGATGTTTTTCTCCTGTAAAGGTGATAAGGATGTACCTAGTCTTATAGGGGTGTGGACTTGAATGTGGCCTTATTATTTTGACCATAGGTGTTGATTGGTCTCTGGTCATAGCTGAAGTTAAAGGTGGTTGAGATATTGAAGAAAAGTTTGAATTAAACTTTGCTGCTTTTTAATAAAAAAGATTTTTGTCAGACATTGCTAGGGTTTGATTTTTTTCTCTTGTTGATGGCATACACTGAGTTTTAGCTGAATTTGATGATAATTACTTAAATTATATGACTGGTAGTGATGTTAAATGACATACGGATTATTCAGAGATACAAACTTTCTTCAGATAAATAAGATATTCTCCAATTCATTCAAAGTAACTATACAGAGGCTACAGATACAATGATGGTCACAGAGAGTGACTGTGTAACAGGTATTTCTTATTATCTTTGGAACACGTTAACTTTAACCTGATCTTCAAGTCTTTTATTTTCCTCTCTATATCTTTAGATAACAGAAGAATGTCAAACACTGAGGGCCAGTGTTGAAGTAAAAAACTCTGAGTGCAAGGCAGCTAAGGAAGAAATTTCCACTTTACAGAAGAGGATTTCGGAACTGGAACCTTTGGAGCAGGTATAGATTTAAGTTTTTGTCTTCAAAATGTACAGATTTTATGATTCCATGTTATTTGTTTTCTATTAACTATGCATCAACATATTTAACATATTCAGTCTGGTATTATTATTTCCCAAATTTGAGTTAAGTCAATTAATTGATTTTCATTTGTAATATCAAAAATCAATGGTTAACAGAATGTTACTTGAGTTTGTGTCAGGGAGTATATTTTTGTAAGTAACTGAAAGTCATAAATCTTATAAATCTTGTATTTGGAATTGGGGAATAATAATACAAATATCTTTATTAAACTTAAAAATGTTTAGATGGAAACAACCAGCTTTATCACATGGCAGTAGTGTACCATATGTACTCGGATACACATTCAACTGAAAAATTTCAATACAGGATCAAGCCATTTTACCATATGTCATGAAGTTCAGCTGTGCAATTATTATTATTATATGAAAATATCTATATAAGCAGCATGGTATGTGGTTGCAATTTCCTGGAAAATATCTGGCAGTGTTGAGTAGATTAACAGCTTGAGTAATAATCTCTTAATTAGGATGATTAATGGAATAATTAAGGTTGTTTTGAGCTTACAAGACAAACTGGTATTACCTTTATGTCGTCAGCATTTGGTCATAAAACCTAGACTTAAGGCATATAATGAGGAGGTCTCTTTAAATTTAAATGTAGAATTGCATGGATTCAACCTTATACAGCATTCTTATTGCAGCTGAAAAGAGCTATATAGACAGTTTTTTATATTTGCACATTTTATATTTTATGAAACAGATTACCTTGATGTAATTTTAATGTTACTTTTTAATTTGGTCAGTTTGCCAGAAATCATCATATAAATTTGGTCAATTTTCTTAATCTTATGAAAATGGCTGAACTTAAATCTGATAACGATAGCCATTTTTTTCTGTCAACTTCCTTTATGATATTGAAGGCAGGTTTCTTAGCAAATATGGCATGTGGTTTTTTAGAACAGTCTGAATATAATGGTTACTGTATTGCTTCCTTATCTCTAGGGCTAAGAAAGAGTTTTATTCACATCTGATTCCAGGTCCTGAGAGCACTGTTTGCTTTAGATATCACAGTAATATCTCTCCCCTGAATTCCCCAGTCTTGCTAGAACCTCTCTAGGGTTACTTCAAATAATCTTATTGATTTTCTCCAATAGGAAAATTAATGTTGAATTTAAGCAATCATGCCTAATAGCCAGTTGGGTCATTCATGAAACAGTACTGAGAGTAGAAAGTTTAGAGGCAAGGAGAAGAGGTTTGTCAAAGGGCTGTGGTTTGAAATGCTGTGTTGAGAATCAAAGTGATTGTTATGAGGTTGTCAGGCAGGTCACTGTGTCTGGTGTCATTTATTTTGATCTAGACAGTCTACATAAAGTTTGCTGACAAGTAAAAGGCAAGTAAAGAAGAAATGTCATGAAATGTCATGAAAAAGGCTTGACATATAATTGTAATGGAATGGACTTAAGTGTGATTATTTTGAAATTGTCTGTCATACATCATCTCTTATTTGTCATGACCTGTGTGATGAGGTCCTCATTAAATTTTATATACAAAAACATCCACATTGATGTAAGCTAGACAATTGGAATATCATGTATCATGTTGCGTTATGTATTATCTTGAGATGCATTTAAAGGTGTTCAACTTTACGCTCTTCTCTCAGTGTATATGAGCAACCAGGGATAGGAAGTTGTCACCTCGTAGAAGATTTTCTTTTAAATTGACAGGAAAGTTTATAAAGTTTCTTTTCTGTAATGTGTCTGAAAGACAGTGACATTTTAATTAGAAATGGTAGTTAGGGAAAGGTTTTTGAAATCTGAATTCTCCTTATTGACCTTAGAGAATGGTAAGGATGAAAAATAATGGTTTGCAGATCTTCTTTTGTAAGCTAGTTTTCAGATGGAACCTTTTTAGAATATTGTTTTCAAAAATAAAATGATTTGCTTGACCTGGAAATAGACTGTTGCAGCAGGAGCATTATTCATGCACTGTTGAACAGCTAGCTCCCACAGAGAGATTGCTCTGATCAACACAATATTGGTTACCCTTATTCTGCCTGCTTTGGATCTTGTCAGGAGATGAAGTCATGACATTAGTACAGCACAGTGATTATTAAAGTGCTACATATTTAGCCTTGGAAACATAAACTGCAATGCTCTAATTGTATCTTTGCCATTGTGTCTTATGCAAGATTCTCAATAATCATTATCCACCGTTTTATTCTCTATACAAAGAAGACCATTGATGAATACATGGCCAACACATATTATTGGTATAATGGAAGTTTTTATCGAGATTGGCATCAAGTATTTCTATGATTAATGAGGAAGCTACTTTTCCCTGTGAAATGTGTGGGTGGTTGTAAAATGTCTTACTTCAAGCAATTCTGCAGTTGGTGTTTTATTTGATGAAAGGATTGCCTGCATTAGAAATAATCACAATAAAACAGTTTTAGGGCTTGAAGAAATGACTCAGATATTGTATTGTAATTTTCTGTGAATTAAAGCCTGGATGACTTTGCAGATGTTCTTTAAACATTTGCTATTTGAAAAGTTCAAATCAGTGTGTAATTTAAAGAAGGGTTGTTCTTTTGTTGTTGTTGAATGAAATTTTTAACTAGATTGAATTGTTTTTCTGTAGTCTCATATGTTTCAGTTGAAAATCAGCTAGACAGGTAAAAGTCAAGATAAAACTGACATAAATAGTGTGATTTTTCTCTTTTGTTTTACATAGCTTATGCAAGCAGCTAAAGAAAAGCAAAAAGAACTGGATGCTGCCCACAAGGAGGCCTTGAATAAGCTACAGGAGAAAGAACAACTAGCTACTTCATTGCAGAAGGTAAAAAAGATCTTATTTCCCAGCAGTTGTGTGTTATCAGATATATCTCATGTTTCTATGCCTTTACCACAGATTGCTTTTACCAGAAGCTATTGTATCCAGAATGTTCAGTGACATATCTTATATTTTCAGGAAAAAGATGAAGCTTCCAAGGAAAGTCAAAATATTATTGAAAGTCTCCAGGTAAGCAAAATAATCTATACTTAACTTTTCAGTTGTTTTCAAACAGAAAATTGCTTTTTGTTTTTCTATAAAAAAAAAGGACATACAGACGAGTTTGTTTTTCTATAAAAAAAAAGGACATACAGACGAGAATAGGTAGAGCTTCTAGACATTATGAATTCAACCATCAGAAAGAAAAAGGATTTGGCTGTACCTATTTATGTGTATTTGCAGGGCAAGATTGAAGCTCTGGAGAAGCAATGTGAGCTCCAGTCTGCACAGCATAATGATCTCCTCAAGGAGCTGTCCATGCTCAAACTGCAGGCAGAAGCTGTTGCTAAAACAACAAAGGTGTCTGCTGAAGTACAGGTTGACTTGGAAACATCTCCCCCATCAGCCGGCAAACTTGCTCCCCAGAAACCACCAAGAAAGAAAAAGATAGCTATGAAGAGAGACCTCATAGATGGTAAGATGTGTAGTGACTACGGGGGAAAAAAACAGAGATGTAATGATGTATGCATGTCACAAAATTCACTTGAAAAAATGAAGTAAATTGCTCTGAGGATAGATACCTCAGGACAGATTTCACTGAGTCGAGATAATATGAAATGACACTCATGTGAATAACAGATAACAATTCAGTCTCGCAGAAAAAATAATGCAGTTATTAATGACTGTACATTTCTGCATTTAATTCAGCTGACAGGCTACCACATTTAATTTACTTAATGTCTTCCATTGCTTGAAAATGATATTTGGAAGTACATAAAATGAATATAGCATTGCCTTATTTGAGGTACCCTTGAAATTCTGTGATTTTTTTATGAGCCTCAATACACATTGTATGTTATAATTTTTTTTTCATAATTCAAGTAATTGAAGATAGATCTAGAAGCCTCTTATTTAAGTAATTCCCAGATGGGAAAAGCAGATCTGTATTTATTTGGCAAGAGTCATTTTGATTTATGTGGGGTTTTTTTCTCTAAGGGTATAATTTTAATATCTTTTTAAAGTCAACATTTTTTGCTGCAGAAAAAAATTGCCACTTATGAGTACATGCACTCTGAGACTGACTAACAAGGGCCAGTAAAGTAAAATGTTCAAAAAGGTCATTGTTCTATGGGTTTGAAGAAAAAAATCCATTCTCTCACAACATTTTCCTCTAACTCCTAGAACTAGAAGGCAGCTCCTGGGAACACATCCTCATAGCAGATGAGACAGACAAGTCAGTTTCAGTGAGGAGGGAGGTGAACGACCTGGAGGACAATGAACTGGCAGACATTGCTGAGAAGATCAAGGTGCTGGCACTCTCAGACTCTGAAGAGGAAATGCATGAGGAGGAGGAGGAGGAAGAGAAGACAAAGATTCAAGGTAGAACTTAACTCCACAATATTTTTTCTCTGATTTATAGTGTGTTATTTATTGATTTGTATTAAAGAGTGAAATATATGGAATACATTCCAAATTGAATTATTGTATGACATTTAAAATTATCAATATCTTTACCTTAACTCTGGGAATTTGATAAAGGTTTGCTAGAAAATATACTTGCCTCTATTGTTTTAAACCAATTAAATAGATTAAAAAGAGAAAGCCTCATTTATTTGGTAGGGGAGAATACATGTAGGTAGGGTTTGTTTGAATAATCTGCAAATTAATTAAAGATCAATACACTTTTTTGTTATGATAGAGCACAGCAAAATGAAAGACCATACAGAGGATTCCAAAGAAAAGGCAGAACTGCAAGAAATTGAAAAGATACTGAAAGCTGTAAGTTTAGAAGCTATGGAAAATGAATGTACCAGATGTTATTCTTGTATACTATATCAGGACTTTAGTTTGCATGGAGTGATCAATTATGTAGATGAAGAAAAAGATCAATGCAAGGTATTTTACTGTGATATCAAAGAGGATAAAGGAACAATTTATAGATTGGACAGATATTCACACTGAAGAAAAATGATGAGATGATATCTTAATTCTTGTCACAAAATTCAATACCCATTGTAGTATAGACAGTATAGATTTATTTTTATTATTTTATTTTATTTATTTATTTATTTATTTATTTATTTATTTATTTTTTATTTTTTATTATTATTATTTTTTTTTTTTGCCTAGGATCTGAGAACTTTGATAACCTGTATCATAATAGCTATTTTAATATTTTAAAAAGGGGATATTGTCCACAATTTTCAATATTTCTTCTGATTCACATATATCAGATGTTGTAAGGAATCTCAAGGGACATTACTTTTCTTTGCAGGCTGAGCCCACCAGTGAGGCAGACAACCCTTCACTGAGGATACCCAATTTGTTAAAGAAGACGGGAGTTCAGGTCTTTGTGGCAAAGTATAGCTATGACCCGGTGAAATATTCCCCTAATGAGAATCCCGAGGCTGAGCTGGCACTTAATGCTGGAGATTATGTATACGTTAGTGGTGGTGTGGATGAAGATGGTTTCTATGATGGAGAACTCATGGATGGACGCAGAGGACTTGTGCCTTCTAACTTTGTGGAGAAAGTCACTGGTACAGAGGGGCATCAAAAATAGCTTTTTAACATAATATTCAAATGGAATATATCTTCTTTTAAGAAAGGAAAAATTCTCTGATCTGCTTACAAATTTAATGATGAAACATTAAGTATTAAGTTTTTACATGATATTCAAATAGTCTAGTATACATCTTCTTTTAAAAAAGGGAGACAATATCTCTCAGCTGCTAACAAAAACTTTTACCATGTCTCATAAAAAAAAAGGCATATTAATTTATGATATGTCGGGGTTAATTTACAGATGATGAGCTGGAGGCCTTGCACACAGCCCTGATGGCAGGGACCTCAGACCAGGACAGTAGTTTTGACAACAGTCTGCAGCAGGAGCTGGACTTCAACAGCAGTGATGAGTCTGAGAAGATATCTATGGAGACAGACTTGCCTGGTAAGTGGGGATGGGGGAGGTTTGATGGAGTAGACAAGATACTCATTAAGACAGACTTGCCTGGGATTTTTTTTGATTCTGGATTTGGATGGGTCTCAAGTATCATTCTTGTGCAACATTTTTTATTGAAGTTATAGATGTTGGACTTTGAAAACAATCAATATTTCCAAATATAATACAGTGCCTTGGCAGCAGTGTGATTAAATGACATAATATAATATCATCCATTACTTCATTGTGGGTGGTTTTCGAGCTCTATGATACAGATATCTTGTATGGGTGAGTTGTGTGCGAGAGATAACAAGAAAGAGTTTATATAGTAGTAATGTTAGCATGTTATTTGTATCTTAGAAAGGACAACTTGAAAGGATTGTCCTGATATCATCAAAGTCACTCAGATCTATGTTACTGGCACTTATACTAATTGCTTTACTGTAGCACTGATAATGGTATGATTGTTTTTGCATAGCTGTGCTTAGCTGTACGTATGTAACTGATATGCATTATTGAACTTTATATGGAGATAAACTGATTGACACTGTACATTCACTTTGCTTGTCACTGAACTTTATTCATGGAGCATGTCTTCTTAATGTTGTTTTAAAGCACTATCTATTTCATTCTATGCACATTTTTCATTTATTATTAAATTAACTGTTATTTCTTTGTGTCAAACTGCTGGCCCTTTATGAATCGAGTCCTAGATACACAAAGTCAAAATCACACATGACTTCCTTTCTAATTAAAAAGAGAAAAAAATCTGTCAGATTACAAACTGTAGAATAACTAGAAATCCATCCTGTTGCCTGTAGAAGACATCCATGCCTTGAGAAATGTGTGTGACCTGCCAGACAGTGATCTAGAAGACATTGAGGAAGTTGATGAGGAAAACTTGACACAGACAGACAAATCTGATCTCACTAACTTAAGTGGTGGTAGTGGTGAGAGACGCATGGGTAAGGGGACCTGACAAGGGCACTTGAAGCTCTGTCTTATTTTGCAACTTTTGTATTTTGTGTAATACTGCTAGTATTAGTTTTGCTTTAGTAACTTGTTGTGTCTGTTGGAATTTGCACTAAACCTCCTGTAGTATCACCTTAGAGTAGACTTCTTTTTATTACTGCTTATTCATTCATGTTTTTAAGTGGTAAATGTAGCTTTTTGTACATTGTGTGAAATCAGTATTTTGACTCAGTGTAACTTCTTGCAGAGGTCATGTTCACATGAATAAACGGACCTGCAGCTAACAGTTTGCAATAGGGGGTTCTTTTCTGAAAAAAGTGGACCTTTTACCCTCTTAGTTGACCAAACCTGTGAAATTGCATAGAACCTATTTTGTGTACTTTTTTGGAGAGGGGGAGGGCTCATAAAAGGTTGCTCTTTTGAACCAGTGAAACTCCCCTGCCCGCAGGACTGATAAACTTAGACTGGAAATAGACTCTGATAGACTGGTTACTTGAGGTAGTCTTATTTCCATTCTCAGTTGGTCAGGATGTGAACACACCCTGTACTGACGGATTGCTAAGTATTTGTGGTTAGTGTGTTTGGTGTGGCACTTTTCTTGTGTGCTGCTGTGCTTATGGCCACAATGTGTGAAGGCATATAGGGGCAATACATTCATGTCACAATACAGGGAGTTATCTTATTGATAACCCTAAAATGCTCTAAATGTTCCATGTTTAAAGCATTAACATTTTTATAAGGTAACAATTAGCTTATATTGTAAATGGGGATGGGGAGTTGCAAAGGCAAATAAGATCAAAATCTGCTTTTATAGAGTTTTACAGCAATAATTTGTCTCCCATGCCTTTAAATATGTTTGATATAGCACACTGTGATGGGATTGTGCTAGATGTGACAGTAGCTGTGCAGGGTAAGGTGAACTACCCCCCACCCCCACCCCCACCCCAGAGTCCTGGCATATATCAGCCTTTCAAGATTCATGCTTTTCATATCACAAATGTTTAATATGACACCAAAGACCGATTCATTGATGGTATTTGTTTTAGAATGTATTTCAATACAGCAATTGTGAGCAATTTATATATTTATTTATTTTTCAAATTCAGATGCATTGTTGAAATCTCAAAGCCATATGATCCACACAATCTTGAAGGGTTTTTGTGATTTCATGTAGATTTGCCTTTACAATTGAATTGAAAAAGATTTTTATATGTTCAATGGTCTTCTTTTAATGACAGGCGTTCCTGCTCCTAGAAAGTTAACATTAGAGAGACAGCTGAGTAACAGTATAGTGGTGGGCTGGAGCCCCCCTGATCACATCAAGCACACAGATATCCAAGCATACCATGTCTATGTAGATGGACATTTTAAAACCTCCATCAAGGGCACTGAGAAGACCAAGGCTCTGGTAGAAGGAGTACAAGCAAATAAGGTAAGTCTGGTTTTGTCCATGTAAAAATGTGTTTTTATTATACAGTCGCATGATATTTTTTAAGAAAAGACTCTGCTGGTTTTCGCCTGTCTAAATGTTTTTGACTTCTACCTTTCAGATTGCTAGTTGATGCATCTTGTTTTGGTTTACTTCTTGAATAATGTATTTGATTATTAATGTATTCAGGTTCATTTTAATGGAAACTGAGATCTGAGAATCCAAGACAATAACTAATTCATGGAAAACTTGCATCTTTTGTATACTTTGGAATAAATTGCTTTGGATGTTCTGTTGAGGCAGTACACAATGTTAATTTTCTCTACTTCCAAAGTTTGGATGGAATAAACATTGATTTTCTAACCTTATTTTGTCTGCAATCTGCTGTGATAGGATGGAGACAAATAATGCTGTATACAATCTTTTCTTTACATTTTAATTTTGTTATAATAGTGTGCAACATTTCATATTTTCTTTTGTCCAGCCTCACCGCATTTGTGTCCGCACAGTGATGGCCCGAGGTCAGTCAAAGGACCAGGAGTGTACCATTATGATAGGGAAAGGTGAGAAACAACTCCTACATATTGTACATTGTTTAGTAACATGCTAAAAGTTGCAGGTGTTTCTGTATTGTTATTAATTTCTTTTTCACTGCTATCAAATAACCTCTCCCCTCACCAGTGAGAAAGAGGCTATATGGTACTTAATTGTTAAGAGGCATGTTTTATTTTAAAGATATATTAGGTATTTTCGTTTCATGATTCTGGTTCCTTTTTTAGACAAAATAGAGATTTAAAATTCTGATATTTTCAGAGATGTATGATTACGAAGGGAAAGATAGCACCATCCTACAACTAATAAAAAATGTGGTATTTGTACCCAGGTCTATGGAGAGTGAGTGATAGATCTCATAGTGAAAATGGAATGGCTGGGTTTATTTGCTAGTTTCTGAGCTCTTTGAACTACGAAACAGGATTTGGCATGTCTTAGGTGTTTGCCTTTACTCCTGTTTCTTGATTGATAGGTTTTGTCTGGTTGTGGAGCACTCTGGTTATGGTCAATCCTTAGCAGTTGTGGAATATATCAAGAGATGGCATTTTCCCACTTTAGGATTTAGGATTGTGCTGTTGCTAGTTTCAAAAATTATTTTTCCTTTTATTATTGATTTTGACTTGGGCATCATAGTGTAGTGGTGTTGATGGCAGGTTGGTAAATAGTTGGGGAAGTTTTATGTGTGGATTATTTATTTATTTGCTTGGTTGTTTGTCTCTTGTATGAAATGAAATGCAATTTTTTACTTGTAAAATGGTAATGGTAAGTGTTTTGGGTCTGGGAAGTGAAATTACAGTGTATATTAAGAAACAGTACTGTATTATATTCAATGCAGCATCTTTTCCAGTTTTGCATTTTTAAGATAACCATACATTGGTATCTATGATGGATTTTCTGTTGTCTTCTGTAGATGCAGCCCTTGCTCCAACAGAATTGAAAGTCTCTGCCACCACTGCCACATCTGCCATTTTGTCCTGGTATCCAGGCAACAGCAACTATCAACATGTGATCTATCTCAATGACAAGGAAGTGAGAACAGTAAAACCTGGAGTCTACAAACAGACACTTACGGGGCTCACCCCCTCTACTCAATACACAGCTATGGTGCAAGCTAAGAGTATAAAGAGTACGTACGAAGATGAAAAAAATAAGAAGAAACAGTCTTCCATGTCATCCAGTATTACCTTCCATACTCAAGCAGGAGGTAGGTGTGCTAGGAGCTGTTTTGATTTAAAACTTTGAAAGTGTAGGGCTTCGCATTGGATTACTATATTGGAAATATTGTAATGGAATTTTAAAGTGATGTTTGGAGAATGAGACATTAAAGTTGATGTAGCCTGCATTTAGTAATGGATTTTATTTAGTCAATGTTTTGTTATTGCCATATGTGGCATGAGCTTTTCTTATTTTACTACTTTAGTGTTTTTGGTAATTGCAGTCTAAAATACATTTAAATTGTTGTCATTGTTTATTGTTTCCTTCATGAAAAAAAAAAGAAAATAATTGTACTTAATGCCCTGGGTTCAGCAAAGTTCAGATCTGGTCAGTTAATTATATTGATATCTGTAGGTATCCCAGACCCACCCCTAGATGTCCAAGTGGACAGTAAGCTCCAGTCAGGATCACTAGTGGTCACTTGGCTCCCAGTGACCATCAACCCCAGTGGGACATCCAATGGAGCTCTGGTGACAGGGTATGCAGTCTTTGTGGATGGTAAGAAGATCAAGGATATTGATGGGCCCACAGGTAGGATCTTTTTTCTCTTCATTATCCAACTATTACTTCTGTTTGCTAGAGGCTTGATGATTGAAGTATTTTTGATTTGAAGTGAATTGGAGAGGAGCTAGTATTATTCTGTTTTGGCATCTAAGTTATATTAGTGAAGATGTCCATGCCTGTAGAAAGGGAGCTGTGATATTTAGAATTTTTTATAGATGTAAGTGGGTCTCTTGCTTCATTCCCTAGAAAAACTTTCTTGTAAAAAACATTGTCAAATTTGTGATTTTGAAATATTTGATATTGGAAGTTATGTCAAATATGGTGCAGTATTTCAGCTATAACTTTACTGAAAAGAAATTAAAAGTGAAAAATGAATATCGAGTTAAATTCCATTTTTATTTTAAATCCCATACAATTTCAGTTGACCAAGTGACCATCAGTTCTGTTGAGCTGTCCACTGCTGGCCAGCAGCCTAAACTACTGACCATGAGAACCAAGTCCCATGCTCAAATGTCCGGGGACTCAGTGGCAGTTAGCCTGCCCACTGGTCAGTTAGAAAAGCAAGTCAAAGTGGCCAGTGCCAAGACTATTGCAGCAGAGGCTGCTCAGAAGGTGGCTGAGAAAAAGGTAAGGGGACTCCTTGTTTTATGTTGTTTTGTTTCTTTTATGTTTGCTCAGAGTTGAAAGTTTTGGCTTCGTTCACATGGAATGTCTATTTTCTAAAAATCTATTTTCTATTCGCGGTATCTTATGATCACGGTCTGTGCCCTGAATATCCCGCGGCGTAATTACTGGCAGCAAGAGCCAGTTACTTATACAAAGCTGTAATTAATTCTCGTGGAATTAGTAATTACGCCGCAGGATATTCAGGGCACAGACCATGATCACAAGATATACCGCAAATAGAAAATAGATTTTTAGAAAATAGACTTTCCATGTGAACGAAGCCTAAATGTTCTCTTAGCAGAATTGTGAATTATATAGCTAATTTTGATGTGAGTTGAAAATGTATTTTGCCAAATTATATTTTTGCTTCAAAAAATTCTCTTAAAATTCCCACTTAAAATTGCAAGCCTATTTTTATGCTACTGGAAGGTCTCCCATACAGCATTATCAGCAGTTTTATATTGTAATTATGTTCTCCAGAAGGCAGAGGGTGGGATGTATGCTGGTGCCTCAGACTCAGATGAAGGCAGCAGTGATGACATCAACAAAGAGCTGTACAAGCCAACCACCCTCACTGCCATCAAGCCTACTCACAAGCCAGCTGTGCTCGAGGGTAGTGATGAGGATGCTGGGAAAACTGACAACAAGGTAGTTTATTCTATGCTATAAGTATATGGAGAGTTTTCACTGATCTTTGGGTAGGATTGTATTCTGTTGTATGTTACCCAACATATTGATACTGATTTGTACCTCTGGGGAAAGAGATGTATCACCCATTAAGTATGTCACTATGAACACAATGAAAACTAGCTGCAAGCATGTTTCAACCTAAAATAATTACTATTGAATGATATGCTGAGGTCTTTGATTTACATGTTTAAGTTTAAAAGGATCAATACATTATTAAACCCCTTGTGCCTGTATGTTGAATGCTAAAGTGAATATATGTTTTGAACATATGGCTTGTTAATGGGGATGACATGTACAAGACTGGTAGCATAGATTTGGAGCAGTTTATAATGAAATTAAGATTGTATGTAGTCTTGGTTTGATATTTTTTCTATTTTTTTTTTTTTTTCGTTATTTTTTTTTATTAAGATGGGGTTTCTGTTGTTTTTTTTCCAATTGGTTTTAGATTGGTTGTGCTAATAGTTAAAGACAATTTTGCCTAATACTTATATGAATTAGTTTTTTCAAATAAGGTGTCTGCAGTAATTGGTATTATATGTTTTATAATGAAAGTGATAAATGTCCTCATTTTCACTAGAAACCCATTCCAACGGTGCTGTTTAGAGCCATAGAAGACAGCAGTCAGTCTGAGCTGTCAGATATCACAGAGGAGGAAGAGGGAGCTTTTGAAGAGGCTGATGAAGAGGAGGAGGCTTCTGATAGTTTCTTAGACATAGAATTTCCAGGACTGGGTGACTCTCAGAAAGCTCCTCTGCCTGCTCCATTATTGGTAAAAGGGGTAAGACTTTTTTTTTTTTTGCTTATTGGCAAACTGATTTTGTTTTGGTAGTTACAATGACCACAGATTAAAACACAGATAAAAATAATTTAGCTTGGTTATGAAAATAAAGAAACAGCAAGTATTAATTGCTAAAGTGTATATAGTGTTCAGTTGTTTGGGAACTTTTTTTATCTTTCATCATTTGTACATATTCAAGAGTAACTGATTTTGAAAAAAAATTAGTATGATCCAAGCATAGTCTGAAAACCTGAAATGTGAACTGGGTTACAGACACATACACCCCTGTAGTAAGTTGTGACATATTGATTTCTTAAAGTAATAGTTTTTTTAAATATAATAATACTCTGAGTTATAATATACCTGATCAGTTATATTTTTATCCAGGCTACATCAGACAAAGAGGACAGAAAGAAGCATCATGGTCAAATGGTCATTTCCCCAGGTCCTAAGCCCACATTTGGGGTCATTCACCTGACAGATGACCAGCCACCCTTCCACACCAGTACCCCAAAACACAGCAGAGATAGAGATAGGCACACTAAAACTCCAGCAGAAACTACTGGCAGAAAAGACAAAGAAGTCCACAGTGAGTTTTCAACTTCTCCACTTGCTCAAGCTCTTGACAAAGAACATAAATCCGGACAGAAACACAGACACGGTTCACTGTCCAGAGAATCTTCAATTGATCAGGAGGAAACAAAAGGAAGAGAGAGATCTGGATCTAAGTCAAAGAAAGATAAATCTGATGGTGAGATTACTCCAAGGACTACTAAAGATAAAGAGAGAGATCAGACAAAAGTTACCCCAAGGGGTAGCAGACATGGCGAGCAGAGGGAACATAAGGGGGAACATAAAGATAAACATTTAAGAGAAAAGGGAGTGTCTAAAGATAAGAGTGATCAGTCACCTAAAAAGAAGGAGGGGCATAAAACTAAAGAAAAGGAGGAACACACGCCTAGAGAGAAAGGAGAAAAGTGTAAAGGACACAAAGCCATTTGCCAAAGACAATGAAAGTCCTATACACAAACACAAAGAAGGCCATTCACCCAGGAAAAAGGAGGGCCTTAAAGAGAAAAAAGAACACCATGTCCCTAGTGAGGGTGGTGAACATAAACATGTGGACAAAAAGGATCATGATACATCTACAGGAAAAGACAAACATCATAGGTCTGATCATACACATCGGGATGTAACTGGACGTACATTGCAAGAAAAGAGATCTACCAGTGCCGACGCCCAACCAGCTAAGGAAGACAGTCTAGGCGTGGGTGATATTGGTGTTAGTATTAGTCCCGGGGAGGTGAGGGGGAGTTCTAGGTCTACAGATGGTTCCTTCAGCAGGACTCCACATCAGTTCTCAGTGCCATCTATTGGTAAGAATGTCAAATTGGAATAGTTCCAGATCGATTGCTCCTTGATAGATTTGTTGCCACTTGATTTAGTAGTAGAAAGACCTGTTAATCTGTTCTTGCGGGCATTAATTGGATGAAAAGCATCCTCATAGTTTGTCTGTCCTGTCTGAAATATTTACCGATTTAGAAGAAAATGAAAATGTTCACAGGTTGATGTCTCTTCAGGCAAAGGTTTTATTTCATTTCAAGCTTCAATTTTGCACTTTCATGGTACATACTTATCAGTTCCACATGATCATTTCAGAAATTACCAAGGACAGCGGCTCATCAGAAGAGGAGGGAAATTACAGTGACGATGAATTTGAAAGTTACAGCAGTGACAATGTCAGCTCTGGTCACTCTCCTCGCTATGGATACAGTCCCAGCATCCAGGGGAAAGCCCAACCCAAAGGAACACAGCATCAGCACAAACCTGGCTCTGACACTAAATATGGACCTGGTATGGACAAACGGGATGGGTACAGGGAGAGAAAAGAAGAGCCAATTAATACTCAATCTTTAGACCAAGAGTTGGCCAGCAGTTTGAAACGAGCCAAAGAAAAAGAGAAACCCACCAGTGGCACTGGGGTCCACAAGGGTGAAGAAAGGACAGGCATGGACTCATCAAAGGAGAAAAGAAAAAGTTCTGCGTCTGAGAATTTGTCCAGGAGTTCTATCAGGGATGATATCCCAGAGTCTGAGTTGATTGACTACGAGGATGATGGAGAGGGTGAGTCCTTGGAGGAGAATGCTGAAGAGATGATACCAGAGGGACCTGTACGGTTGTTCATTGCCTTGTTTGACTATGACCCTGAGGTGATGTCTCCTAACCCTGGAGCTGCTGCTGAGGAACTGCCTTTCAAAGAGGGACAGCTTATCAAGGTCGGTGCAAACTGAGATAAAGATTATACACGTTTCTTTTCGATTTAATATAAATCTACCAAATACATAAAATAAATTAATATTTTTATATTATTTTTGATAAAATTATACTTTGTCAAATTTAAAATTCAGTTTGATGTTGTAGATGGGTTTTATTCAAAAGAAATTCAATTTGATATTGTTTGATAAATAAATTCATTGGATTGTTTTGTTTAACCCAAAAAGAAATTTCCAACATTTATAAGATAATAATGGTATAAGCAAGCAAAAAAACTTCTTCTGCAGTTACATTTTACCCTGCAAAGTATCACACAAAATTGTAAACTGTGATAATTTGTAATTTTTTTCTCTTAAATGTATTTTTCTCAGGTATATGGAGAAGCGGATGAAGATGGTTTCTTCCATGGTGAATCAGGTGGGCGTTTTGGCTACGTGCCAGGCAACATGGTGTCTGAGATTTCATTGGAGGATCAAGATGTGGCAGATGGTCTGCTGGAACAGAGCATGAGCCACAAACAAGACAGCAATCAACTGCCTGGTGGAAGAGAGCAAGGTCAGAATGTTATAAATTCTGAAAAATATGAAAATGTTGAATGAATTTCCATGTATTTAACCAGATTCATGCTTTCTATAATGGTTCTCAAAGAAACTCTTATTATTTTGGTACTTTCTCTCCCACTTCTAAAAAGCCTCGTAGCTTTTTTTTTTCAGTTCAATTGTATTTTCTTTTTAAATTGTTGCCAAATATCAAATTAAATGTTTCTCATCGCTTAAAGAATTCAAGTATGAAGGATTTAATTTTTACCAAGGTAAATTAATCAGCTTTATTTGTCATGTATTTGTGTGTTTATACTTACAATATGATGGTTTTTACCATTGATCTTTTTTCCTTTTTTTCAGCATATGATGTGACCCCAGATGAAAAACATGATTCCAATGGATACCTCATCTTTCCAAAGCAAGGCCCTGCCAGAAAAATGATAGCTCTCTATGACTATGATCCTGAGGAACTTTCCCCCAATGTAGATGCAGATGAGGTAAAGATTGCACTGCCCAAATTGCTCTTCAGAACTTTTGATTGATAGCATGTCAGAATATTTTGTTGTAGAATTTGTGTAATTTTTTTTAATTATTATTTTTCATTTGCATTTACAGTAGGTGATTGCTTTCTATTTATTTGATTGATGATTATATATTTATTTATTCGTCGAAGTATTTTTATTTATTATTATTATTTATATGTATATTGATATAGTATATTTGTGATATAGGTCGAGTTAGCATTCTCAGCTGGACAGATAATCCTGGTGTATGGTGAAATGGATGAAGATGGCTTTTTTCTCGGTGAATTAAATGGTCGTCAGGGCTTGGTACCTTCCAATTTCTTAGAGGATCTCAGAGAAGATGAGGGGGAGGAAATTGGTACTCCTGTAGTCCAAAATTCCGGCAGTGCATTGGAGGATGGAACTCCAAAGAAAGATAAGAAGGTAAATATATTGCTAGGTCAGAGGCTGGTAATTACTCATAAGTATATGTAACCCAAGGGTGTATCTAGTGCTTTACCAGATTTGGTTTGGGGGGGGGGGTGCTGAGAACTTAATTATGCACACTGGGTAAACATCTAGTAATATGTTAAAATTCATATGTATTCTTGCCATTGTAAAATATTCTTTTTGAATCATTAAACTGTGACATTCCTGCATTTTCTATACTGCATAGCTTCCTGATAGATAGAGTCTGGGTAAATTAGCATTGACATGATCATTTTATTTATTTCACAAATTGGAGATATCACACCCAGTTTGTAACTTAAATCACAAAAGATTGCACGTGTGGTGTCATATCACAATGTGAAAATGGTGGATTGTTTCTTTGATATACACTTTCTATACCAGCAGTTTGTGAAAGCTTTGTGTGTTATGGATGTTTTTGTAACACTAGTATTATTTTCAAAGCTGTATTTGAAAGATTGCATTAACTCTCTAGTGTTCAACTGAACAAGACGAGCTTTTTATCAATAGATCCTCTTTATAAAACATCATCATTCAATACTTAGGACTGTTTTAGCTATTGTCTCCATACAGATATTAATTTTGGCAATTGGAGATATATCATTTTAAGACAAGAAATATGGAGAAACTTACTGATGATTTTTTTTTTTTTTTTGTATGACAGAAAATGTGGAATGAAGTGGTACAAAACTATAGAGAAAACTATAGATATTTGTGTATTTTGAAAAGTTTTTAACACAACTTAGGATTTTCTTTTCTTTTTTAAGGAGAAATCGGGTTCACCCCAGAAAGATGGCAAGAAAGACAAGGATGTGAGCAGTCCCATTGCAACAGGAGATGAGAGCAAGGAGAAAAAGAAGAAAGGATTTTTTTCTAAAGGAAAAAGCATTTTTAAGAAATTGAAAAGATAATTCCATTTTAAATGAAGAGCAATTTAATACAATCAAGACATGAATGTGAAATTTCCTTAAAGAAAGTATTTTTTGCCTCCAAAAAGAGAAGGCAATTTTGAATAACTGAAACCACTGCAGTGCTTCTCCCCTTTATTTTTTGATGTGTAGAAAAAAACACAGATATGTGAAATATTTTGTTCATCCTGGCAGACAGAGAAATGCCTTAGTCATACATTGTAGAGCTTGATTGATGATATAAAAAAGAAAATATCAGTATTGAATTAATTGCAATGCTTATAAAACTTGTGACAAGAAGGGACTCATTTAATAGGCAAATTTTTGTTGGTAATTACAGGGTTTTTGGGCAGTGGCATTTATTTTCTTCAACAGCATGCTGTTAGATTGAGAAGATTTATTGATGTCTGTGTATTCTGCAATCCAAGCTTATATTTTTATTTGTTACAGTAGCTACAGTATCAGAATTTTTTTCTTTTTTTTTAACATTACAAAAGCACATATCTGAACTGTTTAAAGCTGTGAAATACTCTTCTTGTTCATTGTCTTTTCTAATTTTTGCCATTTGCCAATCTCCTACATACTTCTAGTTTTATTTATATAGATACAGTATAGGTTCAAATATTTATTGACTGGGACTGCCTCAGTGGCACTATATTTCTACATGGTTCATGTTACAAGTTTATGAGGGCTATCAGCTGCCTTTTTTAAATATATAGGGATGGTGATAGTAATTTTCAGTGTTAAACACAATTCAAGTCATATAATATGGTATTAAACAGCAAACTTCGAGATGAAAATCTGATATTATCAAGTCCACTCACTTGGTTGTCAAATGTATACAATTAAAATGTCAATATATAATCCACAAAAGCACTAAATACTGTGCAGAAGTTAACTGTTGGGTGAAATTTGATAATGATAATGATTAAGAACTGCAAAAGTGGATGTCTTCCAGTTTATTATGAATATTCAAGCTGTTTGTATAATTATGAAATAAGGTGATAATTTTTCTGTTCAGTGCATTTTGATGCAAAATGATGGACACTAGGCTTTATTTTGTTGCCAGTATGTTTTTTTTTTTCTTTTGGTTAAACAGTCCAATTAAAATATGTATTTATATGTTAGTTTTTTTTTTTTTTTTTTTTTTTTTTTTTTTTTTTTTTTTTTTCAAACAATTAATGTAATTTAAAAAGGGTGATTCAAAATTGTCACAGTAAATATCTTAAATGTTAAAAAAAGACTGACCTCATTGTGGTGCATCTGTTTCTTTACAGACGCATTATCCCATACCAAAGTAATTACTAATTGCCAATCTATAAATATAATATATTTATTGTTATTGATTTTAACAATTTTCAATATTCATTTCCATGTTAATAAGTTAAACTATATGGTTTTATGTCAAGTTTGTATCATATGGCTCTGTCTTATGATATGTAATACTCTTGCGGGAGCATTGTACAATCTTTTACTTTTGTAAATTGCGGTATATTAATAATTTTCCATTCCTAAGACTGACTGTCATGGTAGACATAAAAATAATATTAGATATGCTAGTAATGATAGAAATCCATTGGGGCCAGTGCAAAGCAAGCTTCGGACAATCCAAATTAGATCTTGCATGTTTAGTTATCGTAGGGTTATGGCTAGTAGTTTGATAGACTGCAGTGCCTTCTTGCACAGGATTCTTTGAGTTTTGAGAAATTAGATCTACTAGTAGCCAATGTTAGAAACTGTCTCTGTGTGACCGCATATCATGTTTGAGACCAAGATATTTGCTATTTTGCAGTGTCATTTGTAGCTCACACCTAGTGCCTTTTAACACGATATAATGACTGGTGATGCACGTTTTAAGTCTTCACTATTAAGAGAGTAGCCGATGAATATGGATTTTTTTACCAGAAAGATATATGCACTAGTAATTTAAAATATTGTTTTGATTTATCTTGCATTGTGCTTCGATAGCGTGTTAACTCACGGGAGGTTAAAAGGCTTACTATGCCTGGTATTTGGTGCCACTACATAGTTTATTGAAAACTAAGAAGAAATTAATCGGTTCGGAGTTTTTCCGCTGCCATGGTTCTGCCTGACCTTGTATTTATAGAATGTGAACACTATATTGTACGTAATTGTATAATAGAAATCCAAATAGTATTATTTATAGATACAAATAATAAATAATATTTTCAATATAAATATGTCTACCCGTTTTCCATTCTTTAATTCTTAAAATAAAGGTAATATGTTTAAAGTGATCGGTTCAATTAAAAATGAGAATCTTCCCAAGTACAGGCAGCTGGTCGTGCCGTTTTCAAACTGATGAAAAATTGATTAAGCCCATAAAGATTTGAAAAATTTCATCTATGCAACTGTTTTTATACTAGACAAGTGACGCCTTGAAATAAATCCATTCTTTAAGAAGTATTTTAAAGAAACATTGCGCTCTCACGCACATATACAGATACACACGCCTTCGTTCGTGTGTCACAGAACGTAGTTTCTGCATGACGTCACAAGTGAATACGTACAGCCTTTTGCTTGTCTGTGACGTTGGCAGCAAAGACAGCAACCAGAGAGTATAGCAACCAGATACAATGGTTTGTTGTTTACCTGTGAATTTTCGCATTCGCGAAAGATTTTTAGCAGCTTCGGCTTACATTCAGTCAAGATTACGAAGGCGTCGCCGACCCTTACCGGCATCAATTACAAATACGAATGATCGATCTATTGCGGTGGAAAATCATGAGAAAGTAGAACCCAAAAGGGAAGAGACTGCAACCAAGAAGAACCCCATCAAGGTACATTGAAGTTGCATCATATGAATAATGAACCTTTATCACATCTGAAGACTAGCAGATAGAGAACGCCCAGTTAATAACAACATATGACGTAATATACATTTGGCCAATCAATTCAACAAGAGGAAAAATCATTTGCTTGCAAAAGCTGTATCTAACTGTTAGATAGATTCTGATAAAATTTTTGACATCACAAATAAAATAGACTAAACTTTGTAGAAAGCTGTACTTGAAATACAGTAATTGCTATTTTTCAGAGTCGTAGAAAACAAGAAAAAAGATTGGAGGATGACTCAAATATTCAATTAAAGAAATTCAGAAGAAAGAAAACCAAGCAAATGAGGTAACATCATTTCATTAATTCAAATGGTGTTTAAATTTCATTCGTTATCGGAAACCAAACATTTCATGTCTTTAATGTGATACCCCGACAAAGAGTGTCATCTAATAAACATTTAAAATTTTCTTTCAGTCCACCTCCAAACAGTGACGATTGTAAATCACCAGTGGCTTCATTGCAAAATGAACTGGAGGCTGAACGATCTGAGAGGTAATTGAATTCTATATTTCATGCTTTTTCATGCTTTTGTTCTTTTTAGGACTGTTTTGTTCATGATTCAAAGTAAATAAAATTTTCTAGAAGTTCTATGCGCATTGTTGAAATATGCAAGAGACATACCATGCTGTTTTACAATTTCAGTCTACCAAAGAACCAAATCGTTTCTTTGAGAAACGCACCCCTTGAAAGAATTGTCAGCCTGAATAAATTGGTAATTTTTGTACATTTTCAATCTGTTTACAGAAAAACATTGCAAAAAGAATATTGGAATAAATAACAAAATAAAATTGTGATAAAGAATTAATGGTTTTCCGTATTTTAATTAGAAGAAATATCTCCAGTTAGATTTATATTCGATAGAAAGATAAATTATGAAATGGCATTTTTGTTTAGAAGTTTGTCCGTACTACTATGAACTTAGCTGTTGCAATCTAGAACATTAAATATAATTCTTAATTGGAGTTAATGATGATATCATAACAATATTCTAAAATTGCAGACCAACAAAAGTCCAACAGCAAAATCTGCGAGACGTGTCGATACCACTAAACCTAATGTGCAGAAAAGTAGCGACAGTCTTCCTATTTTCAAACCAGAAAGTCCTGCCAAACTGGGTCCAACTTCAGAAAGAACAGTATATACTTTCAAGGAAGTAGAATTCAGATTTACCGAGAAAACAGCCAAGGAAGATTTCAACTTCAGATCAGCTTCTCCTGGTCCCTTGAAGAGAAGCTCCTCTCCCACCATAAGCCAGACTAGCTACGAATCCAGTGAATGCGGCACCCCTAGGGTAGCTAGGGCGCCCACTATGAAGTCTGCTTATATGGAACCAGGGATATGGTATAAGCCGCCTCCCCATAAAGGTCTTCGTCCAAAAGAACGGGAACCACCATGTGCCGAGACCCAGGCGGCAATGAAGGGAAAATACTGCAAGTACCCAACGTATCTCAGGCAGTGGATTCCCTCCATCGCCTGCCAGTACGAGCTGGCCAGAAATGCCGCACTGAAAGAGGCAGCTGAGCACGGTGTGTGTCGTATTACTTGAATATATGTGATTGTTTCATTTGTTCATAAGTTCATAAATGATAAATTAAGAAAGTTATTTAATTTTCATGTTGCTGTGATTTGTAGTATGGGTAATAGCTTATCGTTTAAAATGTTTAAAAGTATGAGTCCACAGAGTTGAAGATATGACTTATGTTAATCCATTTTATTATTATTATTATTTATTTATTTATTTATTTATTTATTTTATTTTATTTTATTTTATTTTATTTTATTTATTTATTTATTTATTTATTTTATTTTATTTTATTTTATTTATTTATTTATTTATTTATTTTTTTTTTTTTTTAGAGAGCGAGGAGGAAGAAGAGACACATTGCTGAGCTTAGAGTACCACCAACCGGCGTTTTGACCCTTGGCCTCCAGAAACAATTAACTTAAATGCGAGATACATTGCACGAATTCAAAACTGCTGATAGTCTGTGTGCACAACAACGAGCACACATATAAAATCTTTTAGATCTGGTGAAAGCAAGTATTTCTGACTGAATAGACCGGATTCACCCTCCCAACTCTTTTGATGAAATAAATGATTCCATTCAAAATGGAATAAGTTAATAAATTTGAAAGAAATTTGTTAACAGTTTACAACAGTAGTTTGTTTTGTAGATATATGGTTTATATATGTATATATGATGTCTGTATATATCTCGATGTTTTGCTGTAAAAAGTGTATATATGTGCAAACATTAACATAATTTTTGTACTTAAATGTAAAGACAAGTGAATTAAAGTAATGATAACACTATATTAAGTTTGTATTGTTTCATCTCTTGGGTGTATTATAAGGGGAAAGAAATTGATATACAACAATCATACATATAAATTATTCTATTAAATGATGCTGATATGAAAAGCATATGCAGTAATAAGAGGAAATGGGTCACAAAAAGTGTCAGGGGGGGTGAAGAAAACCCACAATATTATAAGGGGTAGTAACACACTTACGCACGCAGGGAGACACACAGACAAGCTTGCCTGTGAAAAAACACAAACATTTTGTAAAAATGCTAAGGATATAAGTATGACAAAATACACTGTCATCATGCCAGAACACTTCGAACGTCAGAGAGTTGTTCAAAGCAAATATATGGCTAAAGGGTGGCAGTGAATGATACCGAGATTAAGTACTCGCATTTCACGTGAAAACACCCCTGAAACCGAAAAAGCGTACTCTTCTACGGTCACCTAACATCTCTAGGAATATATTCTTTTTATAATGTGATAATTACCAAGTCGGTGTGAAACCAGTGGAAAAAAAACGTAAAATCTCCAGAGATAACTCCAAATCAGAAAAGATTTGAAAAATATTTATGCATACAACTGTTTTTATCCCAGCCAATTGACGAATTGACGAAATAAATTCATTCTTTAAGTAGTTTAGACGGAAAAAGTATTACGCTTTCACCCACACAGATACACATGCATACGTTCGTATTGTTCTCCCTTGTGTCACATGACGTAAAGTTTCTGTATGACGTCACAAGTGAGTATCTAGCTTTTTGCTTGTCTGTGACGTTGGCAGCAAAGACAGCAACCAGAGAGTATAGCAACCAGATACAATGGCTTGTTGTTTACCTGTGAATTTTCGCATTCGCGAAAGACTTTTAGCAGCTTCGGCTTACATTCAGTCAAGATTACGAAGGCGTCGCCGACCCTTACAGGCACCAATTACAAATACGAATGATCGATCCACTGCGGTGGAAAATTGT